TTTTTTTTTTTTTTTACCAAAACGACAGAGTGACTATTATAAACACAACGGGGACAAAGTCCGAATACATAGTACATATACAAATATGAAGAAATCAAAGGAAAAAATGAGAGACACGCCCAAAGGCGGCCTAGAACCTCGAAAAGAGGAAAGCAACAAATAACCAAAACAGATAAAAGGAATCAGACCCCCTCTACTGCACAATGCCTAGAGGAAGTCTGATTCCAAGAAAACTAAAACAAAACAAGAAACTAGGAGGAACTATGAACAGATGAGAATTGAAGCCACTCCAAGTGAGCAATCTTGAGCAACTTAGTCTCAGGCATAAGAGAGCTGTCAAAAATCCACAGGTTTCTCGATTTCCAAAGCCACCAAAGGATGTAGGTTGATAAGTGAATCCTATCTTCAGTTGCTTTGGAGTGATCAAGAGAGCAAATATGATACTACCAAGATTTGAAGGAGTCCCTGTGGTCTAATAACCCATCCCATCTCACAGGGGAGAGGTCCCAAGTTTTGCAAGCTCTAGGACAAGTAAGAAGCACATGTTCCACAGTTTCTGCAGCTTCACCACAAATAGTACAGATGGCATCAATATCAACTCTTTTCTTCCTTAGATGAACAACCACATGTAAGGTTGTTGTAATACATTTCCACAAGAAATGTTTGATTCTTCCTGCCACCTTAATCTTCCAATGTCTGTACTGAACTGCTTTGTTAATGAGCTGATGAGAACTACACTCTGGGATATCAAGCTGCATAAGTTTGAGTTTTGCAAGGGTGGCATAGGTACTTGTGACAGTGAAGTGGCCTTTAGACTCTAGACCCCAATACAGTCTATCTTCTCTATCTGGATGAAGAGTAGAGATGTTTAGAATAGCAGTGCTCACTGGGGTGTCAAAGACTTGCTTAATCAGCCAATCATTCCAAGAGTAGCCATTTGAATTTAACAGCTCATGAACCCAAGTGAGATGGCCTCTGGCAATGGGAATTAAGGAAGGAGCTTGATTATGAAGTGATGGTACCCAATTTAAGTCAGAGATTTTTGTGCTCTTATCATTCATGATCTCTCTTTTCAGCCATTTGGAAAAGAAAGGCAGTACACCCATCCATGAGTTCCACATCCATGAGCCTCTTTGATTTCTTACAGCATGTGTGATAGAGCAATTAGGAAAATGTCTATCCTTGAGAATTTTACTCACCAAGAGATCAGGATTGGTAGATATTCTCCATAGTTGTTTACAGATGAGAGCATTGTTGAAAAGCTGAAGATCTAGAAAGCCCAAGCCTCCCTCTGATTTGGGTAATGAGAGCAAACTCCATTTCTTCCAATGAATACCCCCTTCCTTATCACCACCTAAGCTCCACCAAAATGCTGCACAGTGTTTGGAAATTTCAATGCAGATGAAGATGGGAATCTTGAAGCATGACATAGAGAAAATGGGCAGGGCTTGGATCACCGCCTTTAACAACACTTCTTTGCCAGCTTGACTAAGGAATTTAGCTTTCCAAGTTTGCAGCTTACTCTTGACTGAGTTAACAAGGTATGCAAAAACATCCTTTTTAGACTTTCCAATTCTCAATGGAAGACCTAAATACCGTGTGGATCTATGAGAGACTATGCCATTGAGAGTGCTGCAAATGGAGGCCTGAAGATGTGATGGTGTGTTCCTGCTGAAAAAGATGGCTGATTTTTGCAGGTTGACAGCTTGGCCTGTAAATAACTTGTACTTCTCTAATAAGGCCATTAGCACAATAGCTTGATCATTCCCTGCTCTACAGAAAAATAGTGAATCATCAGCAAATAGAAGATGTGAGAGCATTGGGCCATTTTTAGATAGCTTGACTCTATGAAGGTGGCCATTATCAATAGCTTGCATGATCGAAACACTTAGCAGCTCAGCAACTATTATGAATAGGTAAGGGGACAGAGGGTCCCCTTGCCTAATTCCCCTTGTTGGTGTGACAAATCCTTTGACTGTGCCATTCAATTTGAAAGAGAAGGATGTTGTTGAAAGGCAAATCACGATTAGCTTAACAAAATTCCTGTGGAATCCCATCTGCAACATTATCCTTTTAACACAAAGCCATTCCACACGGTCAAAGGTCTTGATTAGGTCCAGTTTCAGAGGCATAAATAAGTTTTTTTCCAGTAGAGTGCCTATTTAAAAAATAAAACCAAATCGAAATAATTTGGTCATTCGGTTAGTTAATCGAATTAACCTAATTAATCAAAATAATTAATTATTTATATTATAAAAATATATTTAAGAATTTATTTAACCTAATATATATTTAAAATATATAAAAAATATTTTTTTTTTTATATTTTTTATTAATTACAAGTTGGCCCCATGGACCAAATTGATATTTAATAAGAATTCCCGAAATTCAAATTAGGCCATTAAAAGATATCTAATTCTCAAATACACAAAAATCCCCAAATTGCAGGTTCATTGGTTGGGCCAATTTCATCGGCCGCTTCTCGTCGGGTGCCGCCGTCTGTACCTCCCATATTCGTAAGCTCATCGTCTTATTCTACGGCACATGATCATCTGCTCCCCCAAAGTGGTCTTGCCTCGGCTTGCGCAGACATTGGAGGAGGCGGTGCGGCGGAGGATGGATATGGCGGAGCTGCAGTGTGTAGGGCGCAAACGGCGGAGCTGCGGCACTGTCATATCTTGTATCTCGTGTCGTCGTTGTCGTGGTCGAGGACTTGGAGCTTTCGAGGTAGACGGCTGAGATGGAGGAGGGGGGTGGCTAGAAGTGGGAGACGGAGCTGGAAAAGAGGGCGGCAGTTGGAGGAGTCGGGGAGGCGAAGGCGGAGATTGACGGGAAGGGGTCGCGGACGACGACCATGGGAAGAGCTTTGTGCAGTTAGTGCGTGCAAATGTGTGAGTAAGCGATTAGTGTGTGTGTCTGTGTAAGTGATGTGTGTGTATGTGTAGGAGAGAGAAAGAGTGAATGGGAGAGATGAGGTGTCAAGTGGGGCCCATGGGTGAGTTGGTGTGTGGTGACATGGGTCCCACTGTTTAATTGGTGTGTATAAAATTACCACACTACCCTTAATGAAGGTATATTTTTGTTGTGTTTTCTATTTTTTTGTAATTTTTTTCTGTAATATATTTAATTGAGAATTAGATAAGGAAGATGGATTGGGGAAGAAGCTTAGAGAGAGAAGTAGAGAGAATTGTAGAAAGAGAAAGAGAATATTATGGTTGCAACATGCTTTTCATTTAACTCCCATGTGCTAATTATATAGTTCTCACGGTTACATCAATTTACTCCTCACATGTTCCTACTACAATCATAAACAATTACTTTAGTATTTAATTAAATAAACTATTTCCCTTTTCCACGAGCACTTCATCTCCTTCTGCCACGTGTCCACTTGATTGGAT